TTGGGCTTTGGTTCCATGTGTCAACTCGGCTGGGCGGCTGGTAGTAGTTGTTCCCTAGAGTGACTGGCAATTGGCTCTGTGATGGGATTTGCCTTGAGCTGCTGATTGTTAAAGCCATCCACTTGGGTTATTCCTGGTGGGGCAACACAGGTGGAATGTATCTTTAGTCCTGCCTTGCTGGAGGGTATAACTCAAATCACCACCCTTGGCTTCCTTGAGGGTATACCTAGGAATCTCCTGGGAAGATTCGCCCTCCTCTTGCTCCGGTTCTGTGTCTTGGCTCATCCTCATCTCACCCCTGGGTTTGGGACAGCAGCCGTCTGCTGATCTGCTGATCGAGCTTCATCAAACCCTGAGAACTGGGAGGATCCGCCAGACCTACTCACGGACCTGGGACTCGCCAGCCTGCCAGCCTCCACCACTACTACGTGAGACGAACCCTTGGGTGTCTGTGAGTTCTGTGAGGCGTTACAGCGAAATACAGAACCCTAAGACTGGGGAGGGAGCTCTGGTAGCGAAGTGCCTAAGGTACTTGAGTGATAACCAGAAGGCTGGCGGTTCAAACCCACCAGCTACTTCTCGGGAGGAAGATGGGGCAATCCACTTCTGTAGTGATACTGCCTTGGAAACCCAAGGAGGGGTTGTTATGAGTTGGGTCCGACTCGACGGCACAAAACAACAACAATAAGAGGGGGGAGATTACTGGGAGAAGGAGGAGTTAATGTCTGAAATGGTGGACTGGCACGGTAGTTAGGACATTTGGAACATCTTTAACCTCCGCCTCATGGGGCGGGCCTCCTGCTGATCTTTCTGAGAGAAATTGTTCAAGCAGGTGTTTCCAAATCTTGATACTTTTTGTCCAGTTTTCCCACAGAATGAAAATCCTGTATAGAACACAATGGAAACAAAGAAGTGGAGGCTTTACCCGTTGGTGAAATCCACCAGCTGTTGAGTCCTGGGGAGTTCTCTTTAGGTGAAAGGGGAAAGTCGTACCCTCAAACGAATGCAAAAGAGAACCACGCTCTGAGTGAAAGGAGGCTCATGTCCAAGTTGAAGTTCAGCAGGCCAAGTGCTTGCGCTTCCCTGAGCAGACACACCCACAGCGCTGTGGGGACTCTTCCTCAGGTGGCGTTCCTGTTCCTAATTCAGGCAGATGTGTGGGCGTGGCCTTCCTTGTTAGGACGGGGAGCTCAGCTCTGACCCATCCCCTCCAACAGGCTTTGGGCTCTGACGTTGCTCCAGATTAAGCCAAGTGCCTTTTGAAAGGAGTTGACAGATCGTTAAGTATTTGCTACAAGGTGGAAGGCTTGCACTTCACGGTTTTAAACTGCTCTCATCAACTTGTCCTGTCGCCTGGCCCAGTGCTGGGACCCCGCCCCGCCACCCAGGAAGTCCTGCTGGCCCCCTCACCCTTGGCAGAAGTGCTCGGTGGTATCGGGGGACAGTCTCACCGGGCCGCAGGGGGCCAGCAGATGGGTGGCTAAAGAGCTGAGGAAGTGGGAAGGGCACGTCTAGTCACATAATCACATGTAGGGGCCCTGCCGTTGAAAGCTGCTCTAGCCATCTTCATAAAGAATTGTTTGTACATGAATTCCTACCTCGGTCCTTCCCCACCCCCTGTCAGGCTCTGTCGGGACTTCCTCATTTAAGGGGGAGGGGTGAAAGGCTTTGCAGCTGGTCTGCCCCCCATCCCTAAAGCTTCCAGCCAGGGAGGGAAGCAGGCAGGAGAAACAGCCACCGTGCTGGCGGGAGCCGTGACTCTTAGAAGCTGGGTGACGGCCCTCGAGCAGCCCCCGTGTGTCTGCGGAGGAGCCCTGATGGGGCAGACTTCAAAGCAATTGGCTGGGAACCAAAAGGTTGGCAGTTTGAACCTACCAGCTGCTCCATGGAAGAAAGATGAGGCCGTCTGCTTCTGTAAAGATTACAGCCTTGGAAGCCCTACGGGGCGGCTCCACTGCGTCTCAGAGGGTTGCTATGAGTCAGAATCGACTCAAGAGCAGCGGGTTTGTCTTTGGCTTTTGGTGTGTTTTA